TTCAAAACTGGAAGAAAAGGATGTCCCAAACGACAATGTGCTTCAAATGACGAGACGATACTAGAGCAAGCAACTGATGGAGGTGCCCATTCATCAAGAATGTATAGACCGTCTGATACATGTCCTTTACCAATAATCTGTTTCGTCATAAGATCCTGAAAAAGACAATGATCGGGATATAATGAGACAAAACATTTTAGTTCTTTGGTAAGTTTACTCACAAGAATTAGATTAACGGCAAGACTAGGTAAGCCTAGCATAGAGGACAAAGTAATAAATGAAGTGGCGTTAACGGTCCCAGATCCCTCAATGGTATAACTAGACCCATCAGCTATGGTAACAGAGGATGGTACTTTATGTGCCCGGAATTTAGAAAAAAATTTGGGATTACCTATCATGTGATTTGTGGCACCCGAATCAATGATCCAGTTGCTTCAGGAGGAAATGAGACATTTGTTACCTGACTCATTAAGGGCAGGAGCTGGCATTGATTCTTGATACTTTGTAAGTCTAGCATACTCATCAGCAGAAATTGTAACAGTTGAGGGTGAACTCGAAGTGGCAGCAACAGCGGCAATTTGAGTCTGTTGGTTGCGAAGTTGTAATTTTTTATAGTTTCGCCTTATGTGCCCGGGTTCCTTACAATAGCGACAAGTATTGTTATTGTTCCATCTCCCAGCATCATTGTTTCCTTCTTTGTTATTGTTCCATACCCTAGTATTGTTGTTATTGTTCCACCTGAATGGTAGAAGTACATTCAGTTCCTCGTAGGTTTTCTTGAACTCCATGAAGTATGTAGTGAGTGACTTAGCTTCCTTCTCAGAACGATAGAAAGCCTTAGAAACTTCATAAATCCGAGATAAATTACCTTTTCCAGAGTACAAATACTTCAAATAATCCATTAATTCTTTCACAAACTCACAGTGATTAACCAAACCAACCATTTCATTATCAATAAAGTTTATGATTTGCAAGATTAGTGTAGCATCATCTCTAAGCCAAGCCTTTTTAGCATCATTGGTTGGAGGATCTTGTATAAGATGACCATCTTTTTTAACACTACGCAAATAGATCCTGATTTTTCTACTCCAATCTAAATAATTAGACCCATTTAATTTAGAATCTGTAATTTTGGATAATGCTGGAACAATTTCAGTCATGGCAGATTTATCCTCAGCCATTTTAACTAATGTTTAGCCAAGAAATTGATCAAGGAGAACAAAGGATCAAAAAATCTGCCACTAAACTGGTCGATAAGAGCAATAGATCGACACTAGAACTGACCAAAGCAGTCACAGAAGCAAAGGTAAAAATACAAACCCGAAAGTCGATGCTGGGACAACAAGCGAAGATGTAATCTTCCAAACCCAAGAAGTCGAAACCTTTTCCCAAGATGCTAGGAAAAGTTCCAAAATTTTTCTGAATCAAGATCTTGAGCCCTAATGGCTCTGATATCATGTAATTCAACAGAACTCCTTATTTCATATATAAAAACATTACATGTATATATACACTAGCAAGAAGTTATACCAAAGGTAAGAAAATATCCTACAGATCTCTCCTATGATTCTTACAGATTTCTCTTATGATACTGCTAACTATATTAGGTAATAGAATATTTACAACATTCTGTCACACTTCTCAATCTCAACTTCCAATATAAAATTAGTGGCGGAACCAGAAATCTTATCAAGGTATTCAAGAATAAAAAAATTTCGATAAGTGAGTTGAATGTTATTTTGTTTAGCCTAGCTGATTTTTCCATGAACGATCTCAACATTCTATCAAATACGAACAATCAAGATGTTTTTTCTCCTGCATTGATTTTATAATATAAAAAATATAGTATGAATTATTGTGTATAAAGTGAAATACTAATTAAACAAACGAGTCCAAATATTTACCAAACACAAATCACACCATCAATGAAAAAAATTCAAAATGATTTTTTCGAAAATGCATTCTATATTGGATAAAATTATAAATACAATTGTTATCTACTTAATCACATATTTCAAATAAATAATTTATTTATGAACTCTATATTGATTTAAATTTGTAATTTTAAGAATTAAGAAAGTTGAGAAATATTTTTAAAAATTTAGGTGAACTAAAATTAATAATCTAAAATAAATGTATTTGTTTGATGCAAGAAAAATGGTGTATGTACAAGTGAGTTGTTGTCAAAATAAAACAAAAAATATTGTGCTATAAAATGGTTCGAAACCTAGGACTAATTGATTCAAATAGACATCCTTTACCACTGCACCAAATGTGTAGCTTTTGTCAAGTGTGTCCAACTTTAAATATATATCATTTAAACGCAGAATTTCACATATATATTCAACGTAATTTTCAAGATAGCTACAACTCTGCCCCTGTATAAACCCATTGAAGATACAATGAAAACCTTTTGAAGATATCATAAAAATCTTTCCTAGGAACTGGTCTAAATAGGTACAAAAGCTTCTAAAAATATGAAATAACATAAAAGAAAAATGGGCATGGCTTCCACCATGGCCAGAGAGGAGTCAAAATTGGTGGAGATTATCATCGTCTTCACCTAAGAAACCTCATTGATCTTTCAACCAGACTATGCAAAGTGACATAGCAAGAGTAGTATCAGTATAAACAACATGTATTGGTAGGCATCATTAGCCGATCTGAATCCACCACATAATATCATATAAATATTTAGAAGAATATATGCAATATGAAAATCACTCAACCCAACTTTTAGCCACACGTTTTTACCATCACAGTCTAATAATCATGACCCGTAAGCCTTATTTTCGGCCTTCCTACCTCATTATGTTGTCAACTCTACTATTAAACATTCAACCTTCTTATCACTCTAAGGCTTTACCAAACCTACTACTTTTGCCACCCTAAGGCTTCTTAAGTCTACCTTGTATACCAAACATCATACATATCCCACTCTAGCCACTCTAACTCTTGGTCTGCTTGACTCTACCATTTTTTATAAGAAAAGTTCTAAATCACTATAACAAACATATATCGTCCTAGCAAATAAATTATGCACAAGATCCCCAATGATCAACCTAATCAGTAACTTAACAACCATATGAGACATGTCTAAACAATCACAATAACTCATACTACTTGATTTCAACTCACCTTTCAAGTAATTAACCCCGATCACTCAGAGATTCCTAAAATATCTATTAAAGTGTTTAACGTCTAAATTCGATCTACACAAGAATTATACCTGCATTAAACACAAGCACAAATAGTCGAATCATAAATCCATATAAATGTGATATCCAACTTTTTAGTCAGTATAGTATTTGTCAACCACATAAGTTTTTGTGTGTGTTTGGCCGTAACAAAAATCAATAGTCAAATTTTCTAACTCGTACAAATTATTTTATTATTCTTATTATTATTTTATCTTTTCCAAATGAGATAAAATCAGAGTCAATTAATAGAGTGTTTAAGACAATTAATAGAACTGAAATTGCTTGCACACCCAACCTTCAGAGAATAGAGTATTGAACCTTGTTGTGAAAAGTGTACTTAGGTTTTTAGAAACGGAAAAGGGCCAAAAATACCCTTATACTATTCGAAAAGGTTTAAAAATACCCCTCATCCACCTATTGGGTTAAAAATACCCCTCAGTCAACCTTTTTGGTCCACTATTACCCTTTAAACTAACAGCCCCATATTTTTTAATTATTATTATTAATAATTATTACGTGGCGTCTTTCTATTGGTTAACGTAAATTCTAACACACCAAACTTTCTCCTACCCACCGACCCGACCCATATTGACATCCTTGACCCAAACCCAATTAAAATGATCCATCATAAATAAAAAAAATTGAATCATCTCCTCTCCCCTAAACCCAATAACCTATTTTTCTTCATTTCCTTCTTATTAACCAATTTCAAGATCAATTTCACCTAAAATGGCTTAGATTTTTAGTGCAATACTTTGTTGAAGTTGAGAGATTCAAGTTGGAGCATTGACTTTTGAAGTCTTCTCTCTTTTAAGTAGGTCGTTTTTCCATTTTCATGGCTTAGGGTTTCTGAAATTTTCATGTAGTGTTACTCTCGAATATTTTGAATGTTTTTACGTCTTTCTTTACTTAGCTCTCAACTTTTAGTGGTCCCTTTTCAATTGTTATTATCTGAACTTTGATTTTTAATATTTCTTTATATTGTGTTTAGTTATTGATATGGTGTATTCTCTTTCTCTTTTGCAATAGTTTATTCAAAAAATGTTTAGTTTATTTATCTATAGTTTGTTGTGGACCCTTTCTCTTATTCTTGTATGTATTTTAGGGTAATAAATATTGTCTTCTTTAACCTATTCTTTGAATGATGTTGATGGGTCCTTTTTCTTGTTTTTTTTCATGTACTCTTTTTGAAGAATGATTAAGAAGGTCGATTTGGTGTTTAACTATGGAGGCAAGTGGGTGTTGAAACCTGAAGTGTTGTATCTTAAAAAGTTGAAGCACATGATGCAAGATTTTGATGCGGATTTACTATCTTACATAGATATTTGCGCAGAGTATACTGAAAAGTTAGGTTTCAGTAAGGTGAAACAGGCACTAATAAATGGGCCTTCTGGTAGATACTTTCTGATTGAGAATGATGCATGCATTATAGCACTACAATCTTTAATGTGTACCGAGTTCAATGAGCTTCAACTATATGTTGTGAATGAGAATGAATTACTTGTTCCATCTCCTAGCATTATATCATTGCAACCCTTATTGTCTAACCAGGTTAGTGAGCTTCAATTATATGCTATAGATGAAGGTGAACTACATGTCTCTACTCCTAACACCATTGATCAAAATGAGCGTCATAATATTGCGGTAGATGTTGGAACAGATTGTGATTTATCTGATGAGGAGAAAAATGTTGGACTTAACTCTAGTGATCGTGACAGTGAAGAATTAGAACTCTTTAGAAAGGAAAGAACTTAAGATGTTAATGAAAAGCTTGACAAGTTTTTACACTTGGAAAAAGGCATGAATTTTAAAGATTTGTTTGAAGCTAAAAGGGTTATGGGATTCTATGCAGTTGCTAATAAGGTTGGTCTTAAAGTAAAACAATCGGACACTACTAGACTTAGATATGTATGTGATACTGGATGCCCTTTTGTGTGCTTGATATCTAAGGATAATAAAGATCAAGGATTTAAAATCAAGACTTTGGAGACAAAACATAAATGTGATCCAACATTTCATAATAGAAGAGCTACTCCTGATGTTTTAACACATTATTTCAAAAACAAAGTCCAAAATGATCCTAAGTACAAGATCAAACAAATGAGGATGGACGTGGATCAGAAATTTAAACTGAATATTAGTTATTCTAAGATGAAGAGAGTTAAGAAACTTGTCTTAGAGGAATTAGAGGGCAGCTTCATTGATGATTTCAATAGGTTAGAGGCTTATGCTCAAGAATTGAGGGATAGTAATCCTGGTACAGATGTGGTTATAAACATATCAAAAAATGCTTTGACAGAAGGAAAAAGGAGATTTTTGAGAATGTATGTGTGATTTCAAGCTTTGAAAAGTGGTTGGAAAGCAGGATTGAGGCCTCTAATAGGTTTGGATGGCACATTTTTGAAAGGAAAATGCAAGGGAATTTTACTGGTTGCTATGGCACAAGATTCAGCAAAACACTTTTATCCATTTGCTTGGGCCGTGGTGGATAAAGAAACAAATAAAACATGGAAGTGGTTTATGGAGCTATTGAGATCTTCTTTAGAGTTGAGAGAGGGTGAAGGAGTTACATTTATATCAGACATGCAAAAGGTTATAGATTCTCAACTTAATTTACATTTGCGTTGTAAGTTTCTTTTAATTACTAATCTTATCTTATTTACTTAACTGTTTGGATATTATAGGGGTTGATTGGTGTTGTTGATGATGTACTTCCTAAATCACATCACAGATGGTGTGCTAGACATATAGAAGCTAACTGGAGTAAGAACTGGAGGGGTATACTAATGAAAAAATTAAGTTGGTGGTGTGCTTGGAGCACTTATGGAGAAGAGTTCAATGACCAATTGACAACTTTAGGGACTGTTTCTGAAATGGCTGCCAAAGAACTAATAGGCTACCCACCCCAAAAATGGTGTAGAGCTTATTTTGACACCTGATGCAAGAATCAAATGGTTGACAACAACTTTACAGAATCATTCAATAAATGGATTTTAGAGGCAAGACACAAACCAATTATCAAGATGTTGGAAGAGATAAGAGTCAAGGTATTTAACTATTACTTTGTCTTTGATAATTTTTTTCATTATTAGAGTTTTTGTCACTTGTATTACTATCAATTTTCTGTATTTATAACATTGATGTGTATAAAATTTTAAGCACATTGTGTCATTACTTTACCTATGTTTCTCGAACTCATCAAAAATGCTAACGAGTGCATGTTGAATTCTCTAAAAATAGTGTATTTTTAGAGAATTTGACACGAATGTGGCATTGAAAGTGAAGAGTCCGTGCAACTTAGATTTTTATAGATTTGTAAGCACAACTTTAATTTTAACATCATTGCTAGAAGTTGCAAGAAATTGGTCACCTTCACATCACTAAATTGCCTAATCTAGCTTATAGTTCCAATTACACTAAACTGTTTTTTTGTGCGTATTTGAAATTTAAAGCTCCAAAAAGTACATCAAAACTGCTACCAAGTAGGCAAAGATATTTCTTGTTAGAATTATGTTATATTTTTGTTAATTATGGATTTTTCGTTGTTTGAAAGGTAATGAAATTACTGAAAGATCGTGAGGAGGAATGTAGGAATCGGAGAGATGAAATCAGTCCATATGCCAAGGATTTGCTGACTGATTACAGAGAAATAGCACAAGGGTATGAAATTTATTTTAATGGAGACTTTGGATATGAAGTGCATGAAGGTGAAGACAAGCATACCGTCAATCTTCAATTAAAGAGGTGCACATGTAGGGTATGGGATTTGACAGGAATACCATGTTCCCATGCCATCAAAGCTTTGATTTACCAGAAAAAAAATCTGATGAGCGAGGTGCATTGGTGGTATTCAAAGGAAGCTTACATGTTAGTTTATATGCATAAACTACAACCAGTTAGAGGTGAAAAATTCTGGAAAGGGAAACCAGAACATGCAATGGAACCACCGAAAAAACATAGAATGGTTGGTAGACCAAAGTTGAAAAGAAATAGAGAGAAGGACGAGGCAAGGAAGAGAGAGGGGGCTTGGTCATCTTCAAGAAAAGGACTTTTAATGACATGTGGATATTGTTGTAACAGAGGTCACAACATCAGAAATTGTCCTTTGGGTAAATATTGTTACTTTTGAATGCTTATAAACTGAAACATTCTTAATTTTATTGCTTGCTTGATTCGGTGAAATATTTATGGTTGTTTTTGCAGGTGAATGAGAAGATAAAGAATATGGGTGAAGGATCTTCCCAGAAAGTGCAAGATGTGACCTTAACAATAGCACACGAGAGTCAAACTTTTGAACAAGAACAACAATTTGATCAACATTCAACCATTGGTGATGATGAATGGGAAGGTGAAGAGGAAGATGAAGTTGAAGACGACCAACCAATTTTGAGGCCGAAGGTGGTATCTGAAGAAAGGACTAGGCTTCAACAGAAAAAATTACAACGAAGACCAACTGGTACTAGAAAAATTAGCTTCAAGGGAGATGAATTTGGTGTCGTGGAGCCTACCAATCTGCCTTATTCACCAAAGAAAGTTACCTGGAAAGGCAAGGCAGCAATGACCTCAAACTAGTTGGTTGCAGAGAAGGAAAAAAAAGTTGGTAAATTAAAGACTAAGAAGGCAAGATTAGAGAAGAAATGACCAACGTTTAGGAAACGTACATATTTTAGGTTTAACACACTTAAAATAAGTCAATTTTATTGTGTCATTGATACAAATAAGAATTTGTCAATTTGTTGCAAAAACATGCCAGGCCAGCCAAATCAAGAATACTCCTAAAGCACCACAATAGATACTACACAATGCTGCCACAAAATGGCTTTACACTTCCGGAAAAATAAAATTTAAGTTTCAAAGCTATTCTTATAGTTGTTAAACATGAGAAATTCACCAAACTATAAAATTATAAAAGCATTGAAGAATAACAAATCTATGAAATTAGAATAAAAATAGCTTCAAATCTAACACCTAAACTCGATCAAACAGAACCTAAATTCTACCAAAAACTACACAAACACTATAAAGAAAAAACAGCAACAAGAACTCAACTAAAGTGCATGCACCATTATGAGATAAAAAAACTGATCCAAAAATGAACAAAAAATTGATCCTAATTAAATTTCATTAGCAACGAAATACATTACAATGAAGCTTGCGAACTAAACAAAATTTCGCTACAATACCAACAATAATAGAAATTATAATTAAGAACATTACACTAACTAGACACCATCAACAATTTTTCATATCACAAACTTATCTAGAGAAAAGTAGCAAAAACAACAATTCAAGACATCATCTTCAAAGAAAAAAAAAACCATGACCATAGCACAATCTTCCTCCACCGCTTGTCTTTGAACTCCAAATTTGAAACTTTCTCCTTAAGGTAGATACATAATTCAAATTTGTCAATTTAGACATATCATTCACGTCTTCCTTAACATGTTGCGTTTTTGACGAATGACATCCAATGATTTTTTTTTAATGTGAATAAACATTGTCACATGAGATGAAAATTGATTTTTACCTTGCCAGTCGTCATAGCGACATCCATTTGTCGTCATAGCGACAACAAACCTACGACCATCATTTTAGGTTTCGCAGCGGTAAAAAAGTTGGCAACCATTCAAGACTCTCCTACATCACGATAAGTAACAGAAGAAGATTCAGATATTTGAATGAAGAGAAGACTTCAAAATTCAATGCTCCAACTTGAATCCCTCAACTTCAATAAATTATTGCACTGAAAATCTAACCCATTTTAGGTGAAATTGGTCTTGAAATTGCTTAATAAGAAAAGGGAAAAGAAGAAAATAGGATATTAGGTTTAGGGGAGATGAGATGATCCAATTTTTTTAATTGGGTTTGGGTCAGGGATGTCAATATGGGTCGGGTCGGTAGGAGAAAGTTTGGTGGGTTAGAATTTACTTTAACCAATAGAAAGACATCACGTAATAATTAATAATAATAATAATTAAAAAATATAGGGTTGTTATTTTAAAGGGTAATAGTGGACCAAAAAGGTTGACTGAGGGGTATTTTTAACCCAATAGATGGATGAGGGGTATTTTAAAACCTTTTCGAATAGTACAGGGGTATTTTTGGCCCTTTTCCGTTTTAGAAATTGTATATATTTATTTTATTATTAATAAGATATGTTGGACTTTGTGAACTAAACTCATTCAACTTGTCTGTTGTTTGTCTAATAATGGCTCAACAAAGTATCTTCTACAATTGATGAGTTGCTTAGTTTCATGCCTATTACCATGTTAACTCCTTTTTTTTTTCTTTTCTAAACCTTCATTATGAGTAGATGTATTTTGTGCTAATCTAATCTATGAGAGTCATTTTTATTTTAGTAAAGAATTTATTGAAACCACAATTCTTTTTCATTTTAAAAACTATTGAATGATTTTATATTGATTATTTTTATTAGTAGTAGATGAATCAGTAATGTCATACTATTTTACTAAATTATAATTTGTAGTTTTTTTTTACCCTTTACTCAATCATGACTAGAAAGAATATGAAAAATAAATTCATAAAGATATTATTATATTTTATATGTGTTAATCACTTATTTCACTATCAAAAAGTCAGAATAAGTCTTGAAATTTATCGTCAATCAGTCGCTAAATTGCTCATACATAACATATATCTTTTTGATAATATGTTATTCATATGTTGCTAAATAAAATTATTTTGTCCACGATGATTTTATATTTTCTTCGTCAAGTTTGGTATATGATTTTCTAGGTAAGAATTTATTTTTAAAATATTCTTTTGCTAAAAAATATGTAGTATAACATGAAAATTTATGGTAAGAATTTATTTATTTTTAAAAAGAACAAACAACTTTGAGCTGACACCGATAATATTAGTATTAGGGATGCACAAAATCGAATCGAAAGTCAAATCAAACCATAAATCGAGTCAACCCGAAAGAAAAAACCCGACTGATGGTTTGGTTTGACTTGGTTTGGTATTGGAAAAAAAAACCCAACCACACTTGGGTTGGTTTGGTTTTATCTAAAAAAAAAGTCAACCTGAGACCAAACCAACCCGACATTATATATATAATTTTTAAAAATTATTTTATACATAAAAATATTTACTTTATGTAATTTCTAATTATTACTTATACATTTTCATAATTTTTATCTTTTAACATATATTTTCAAGTTTTTTAAAACTTAGAATTTTGAATGGTCCAATAAATGTTATAGTACGTAGATATTAGTAACTCTAATAAAACTCAATTCAAAATCAAATCAATACTAATGCTAACAAAATAAATTAATTCAACACTAAGAATGACAATAACCTAATTTTAA